CTGCGCGCGTTCTCCTTGCAAGGCCTGCCTAGCTGTTCTGGTCAAAGCACACACACTAGCATCACCGTTATTCCAGCCTGCCTGCACTCTTAGGGTTAAGCCGTCTACAATCGCCTGGGTATAAGCTGGGCTCCACCCCTGAAGGGCGACGCAGAGGGGTAACTGATTGATAAAACACTGCTGAATCCTTTTCATGCAAGCCGAACTGCGTGATTCTCTAACAAGAATCACCTCTGCATCTGGGGAGACGGGATCATCCCCCACTGCTTAGGCTACTTGAAAGTGTGCGTAGGTAGAAGGTAGAGGAAAAAAATTGCAGGCATCAAAATCACGTCACATAATCTGTATCTCTGTAGTCAAAGCTAGCCCACTGGTCTCATTGGCTAGTTGTTTGCTGTTGTTGTTTAAATAATGCAGTAAAGTCATATGTTATTTTTTAAACATCTTCCCCAACCTTACTGTGTACTTCAGGTTCATGGAAAGTGTGGCCAGTGTAACACACCACAGCTTTCATCTTAAAGGGAGTAAGAGAGTTTATTCTGGAGTCCTTGTGCATGACCCTGGCCAGGGAACATTAGCTTCCCCTAAATTCCATGTATTGGCATGGAAGCAGTTTCATGAAGCTTTTATAGTTTTACAGAACAAAGAAAGTCATAAATCAAGGCATGTTTAAAAGACATTGGTGAGTAGCCCAGAGACGAGGGTAGCCCAGGGTGCAACAAGATGCAGGAGCTGTTCTTACACCTGAGATGCTGTCTCATGAATTCTGGCTCTGGGACTAGCAGAAGCCAGTGTTCTAAGTTAACAGCTTTGAGAGGTTTTCATTTATCCTGAGGGGCTTGCGCAGACGCAGTCAGGCTAGGCATGGCTGTTCCAGAAGCTAACACTAGCCGGAGCTAGGGAATCAGCCCCTGGGCCTGCACCGTTCCCGTCAGCCCATCAGCTCTGCAGATTCAGGCTCCTCCCGGGAGCTCTACTGTTGCTGTTTATTTGCTTGTTCTCAAGCTCACAACCAGTCCAACTTCTTTTCAGGAATTTTCATTCACATTTACACTGTAGAAACTTCCCCACAGAGTCCAAAGATTTTTTTGTTTTGTTTTTGTCAAAGCTGGTATTATCCATTCCCCCTGTTATTTCGGACATCTTGGATTTCTGTTCCACAGTGTGGGACTGGTTAATTATATGGAGTGGCAAAAATGCTTAGTAATTGTTTTGTTTTATTGTCCTGAAAAACAGGAGTGGTGGGAGGATCCACAGGCCGGGTTCAGAGTGTAGGCGAGTGACAAGCCTCCAGCTGCGGCCTCCGCTCCCGCTGCGAGGACTTTCTTCATTTCAAGTGTTCAGATAATGGCTTAGCTCTGATTTAACAGGAGGAAAAACCGCCCGCCCGTGTGCTCTAGGTTCTAGCACGTGGGCTAATACTTTGCGGATAATCAGAGTCACCGTAAGAAAGAGAATTTGTAAATAAGAAAAAAGGAGATGCAGAAAAGGACTTTGTGACGGAAATCGGAGAAGGCACAACCCTGCTTTGGGTTGACAGAATGGCAAAGAGTCGGGGTTAGGTACGGGGAGGCTCCCCAAAGCACCCCAGGACAGCCTGCCCTTACCTGATCTGATAAGACAGAATGAAAGCTCTGCTCTTGACGCTCAGGGACCTGAGACACCAATCTCCTTCTTTTGGCCACCCCACCCCACACTGACCTGTCCTTAGGCTCCAAGCCATTTCTCCAGCCCTGAGAGAAATACTTTTTATGAGTTCCTCAGAAAATTGTAATACTTCCCTGGAATATTTGTTATTTTTTGCTTTAAAATTACTTAAAGTCATTACAAATAGAAATACTTAAAAATAAGTACATCCCTAATTTTAGTTTATTATTAGTTGCTTCTTTGCAATCATAATCTATAGATTTGTTTGGGATTTTTTGTTTGTTTGTTTTTCTCAAGACAGGGTTTCTCTGTGCCGCCTTGGTTGTCTTGGACTCACTTTTTAGACCAAGCTGGCCTTGAACTCACAAAGATCCACCTGCTTCTGCCTTCCTGAGGGCTGGGATTACAGGTGTGCATCATCCCTGGTTTGTCTGTCTGTCTGTTTGTTTGTTTGTTTGTTTGTTTTTAAAAACAGGGTTTCTCTGTATAGCCCTGGCTGTTCTGGAACTTGCTCTGTAGACCAGGCTGGCCTCAAACTCACAGAGATCCACCTGCCTCTGCCTCCCAAGTGCTGGGATTAAAGATGTGTGCCACCACTGCCCAGCTCTGATCTATAGTTTTACACAAACACAAACTGCTGTCAAATGCCAGCAGATAGCTCTAGTATGTAACACATCCACTGCTAGAGTCCTTATAAAAACGTGGATAACACAGATAGGCAGCAGTCAGGGCCGTGATGTCAGAGTATTTGCATTGATAATACTCTCTGCTGGCTTTTTGTCATCTCTATGCTTAACAGTTGGCACACGGGACTCTTACAGCTTACCCCAGGGTCTCCTGAGGTGCCAGCACCCACATGCACGCCATGGGTGCCCACTCATGGGTTAGCATGTGTACAATTCGTGCTCAACTTTGCATCTAGTTTTACATCCTTCCTCCATTCCCAGACGTAAGGTCCACACTGTGATACACCGGAAATGTATTTAAAAATGACCTTTTCATTGGGGGCTTAATTTGTAGCTTTAAATAGTCATGGATATTAAACATATTTGTAGAACATTATGCAGATGTATTTTTAGATGTATTTTTAGCAGTGAGATTGTAGATAAGAGATTTGTTTCATTTTTACTCCTCTAACACTTTTGAAAGTTTCACTTTAAAATTAACGCATGTGTTTAGTGTCCTAGCAGTAAGGGAGAATGCATGCGCCCATGCCAGCAGCGTTACAGACACAGGCTGTAGGTACAGGGTTGCCATGTGGAGTCATGATTACAGCGGCGTCCAAGTGTTGTGTGTGTCCGTCCTTCCTTCCTGGGAACGAGACAATGCATTGACACTTCCTGGGCTGCAGAGGGCCTTACTTGCAGAAACAGGAATCTTCAATTTCCTTGTAGCCATAGTCACAAGACCTATACTGGCTAAATGATACCATCTGCCCAGGGTACAGATGTCCATCTGTCAGCCCATGTGTGGGTTCTCTGACTTCTCACTCATTCCAGGAGGAATGGACCCTTCCCATACCACAGGATTTACATCAGAGAGCTTCCATGCCCTTGGTCTTGAGCCATTTAACTGTAACCCTTCCTTCAAGATGCACAGCAGCCTGTTTTGTTCTGTGACTGTGATCCAGTTGGTACCATTTTCAGCCATTCCAGAAGCTTGACCTCTGCATTGATTTGGTCTCTCCTTTATTTACACTGCCTTGGAGGACTTTGGGTAAAAGCCACTTTGATGAGATGAATGTTAAGACTCCAAGCTTTCTTGTATAACCTATTGTTTCATCAAGGTTTTGGGGGAGGTGATCTGGAGACCTGTTAGTGTTTTGGCAGCCTGATTCTGGTTGCCTAGCAACTGATGATGTCATCATGTGTCCCAGGCCAGGTAACCACACCTGGCAGACGTGGTTATGTTGCTCCTTAAAAGGATCAAGCAGCCACTTTGTCTCTCTCTTGCTCTCTTGCCCTCTCCCCTTTCTCTGTCAGAGCGCCCCCCTTCTCCCTATTATGTCTCAATCTTTCCTTCTCTCTCTCTTTCTCTTCATCTCTATCTAATAAACCTCTTTCATATAAAATCTGCTGTGCACTTCATCATTGTCTTATTTGGTCCTAACAAGAACATATATACATGTGTATATGTATGTATGCATGTATATGTGTACACATATATAGTAATTTGCTATTGCTGGGTAATTGCTATCATCTTCGCTTTACAGAGGGAAACAAGGGCAGTAAATGACTCACTGTAGGCAGCTGAGGGAGAGGAAGAACATCATCCCTGAAAGACTGGACTCAGGGTAGAAGTGGCTCCAGCTGGGTCTGTCACAGCTCTGTCCAGAAGAATCCGGAAGTGTGGTCAAAACTCACTGTTTGCTCCATAAGGCTTTGTATGTAGTCTTCATCTCATGGCTGGCAGGGGAGGAAAGAGGACGAAGGGCAGGGAGGGGGAGGAAGAGAGAGGAGGGGCAAGAGGAAGGAAGAGGGGGAGGGGAAAGGAAGGGGGTTGAGAGACAGGGAAGTGAGGAGGGGGAGAGAGGAGGGAGAAGGAGTAGAGGGGGCAGGGGGAAGAGGGAAAGGCATTCTGAGGAGAAAGCACCTTTCATGGGAATGGGGCAGAGGATGGCTGACCGAGCAAGATGCTTATAATTCTTCCTGGTAGACAGTGCTTGGAAATGAAGTATAAAAAAGTTCCTAGCAGAGCTCTGGTAGAAATAGGGCCCTCCTGTGACCCAGTGTTTGTGAGAACCGTGAAGAAGCATCTCGAAGTTTATTTAAAATGAATTCCCATCTTATCTTGGGTCCTTGAGAACATTTTGAAAACGTCTTTTCACTGTGTTCACTTCCTTCTGCCTATTTTGGGACTACTAAAACCCATCCCTAGATGCTGACACGCATGGATTTATGTCTTGCTGTTCCTGCTCACTCTTGCCTTCCTCTCATTTCTTATAGCTTCCTCATTCTCTTCATTCCTCAGCATAGAAATCTGGAAGGGTATGGAGAAAGAGCAGAGAACTTCTGACACATTTAAAAACTGTCACTTCTACCACAGACTTCCAGTAAATGTTCACACTTATTTTTGCCTAAACTGATGTGAGTTGGCTCCCCATTGAGAGGCGATGAGCCTGAGGCAAGAACTCTCTTGACTTAACCTCCTTGTTGTATTTATGAGCCCTGGCTGTGCTTACAGACTTCTGACAGAAAACGTGGACTAATCACGACGGTCTTTAAAATCCATTTGGATTTCTTTGTAGCCTCTGAGCTCTGTGGGGGGAAAGGTGTTGCTGTTCTGCGCTTCTGTTCTATTCTTGTACCTTAAGATACAAAAGTGAATTTGTGAAAAATTATTGATGCCAAAATTTTTTTGATCAATGAAAAGTATACAAGTGCCATTCTTAGCCGTTTACTAACCACGTGTTAACAGGGTTTGGAGAGTCTTGGGGGAGTGTTGCTTAGCGCGGATGTGGCCTTAGATTTTATCCCTAGCACTGAAAAAAAAAACAAGAATAAAAAGTAAGTTTAGAAAGAAACTGCAATTTAATTTACATTTGTGGAATATCATGACAGAAAAACGAAATAGTCAAACCCAGTTACCACTGCTGTTCAGCTGGTGCGACACTGCCTCTCAGGATGGAGCGCTAGGTTCTTTCATTTCTGGGCCTGCGTGTCTCTCACGGGAGCGTCCCGGTGACTGTGAAGGCTGCTGCCTCAGAGAGGGCGGCCAGTCTCATCTTCAAGCTAAGGCTTCCGGGCGACGGGCTCACCCAGAAGGGGGACAGCTCTGCTTACAGTGCGCAGGCCTAAGGAATGACGGATGGAGTCTGGACGCCGCAAAGGGCTGATGAGTTGCTCTTTTCTCCACATGTGCGGCGTGAACCTGTGTTTGTACTATGATGAATGCTGTCATAGCTGACCTGGAGGAAGGAAGAGCAGCCGAGTGCGTCACTCTGCGGTGAGAATGGCTCTGGGCTCCTGGCGAACCTGGGCTTTCTGTCTGAGCCCTACAAGGTTTGCTTCACCGTGGCTTTCTCTGCCCTGGGGCGTCCTGGAGTATTCTTTTTAACTAAAGGTTTTGTTTGTTGTTTGTTTGTTTGCCCTCCCACGGTCTTCATACCCAGCCCACACTCTGGCAGAAGCACACTGCTCTACCCACGCCACACAGAGATGCAGAACCCTAGCTGGGATCGCACCCACAGCCCGTCCGCGCGCCTTAGGGCCTCCTGTCTCACCAACAGCTCCTCTCCACACCCTGCTCCAAGTCCAGCAGAAGACCCAAAGCTATGCCACCAGCCAGAACCCGGAGACCACACCCAGACCCAGAACCTCCTGCTCTACCAGAGGCCACACAGGCAGCCAAAACCCCAGCAGACACCCTACTGGATCTGAGAACTTGCTGGTAACCTCAGGCCAGAAGAGCATAAAGAAAACAAAACAAAACAAACAAACAAACAAAAAAAACCAAACAAACAAGAGGAAAGGCTCTTCCCAACCCTACATCAGACAGAGGGCTAATAGCCAAGACATATGAAGAACTTAAATTAAACATCAACAAATCAAATAATCCAATTAAAAACTGGGGTACAGAGCTAAAGTGAGAATTCACAACAGAGGACTATTGAATAGCTGAGAAGCATTTGAAAAGCTCAATGTCCTTAGTCATCAGGGAAATGCAACTCAAAACGACTCTAAGATTCCATCTTACACCTCTCAGAATGGCTAAGACAACAAACTCAAGTGACAGCACATGCTGGAGAGGCTGTGGAGAAAGAAGAACCCTCCCCCACTGCTGGTGGGAGTGCAAACTTGTACAGCCTCTCTGGAAATCAACCTGGCGCTTTCTCAGACAATCAGGAGTAGCTCTACCTCAGACCCAGCTATGACACTCACGGGCATAGAGCCAAGAGAGGTTCCACCATACGACAAGGACATCTGCTCAACTATATTCATAGAGGCTTTATTCATAAGAGCCAAAAACAGGAAACAACCTAGATGTTCCTCAACCAAAGAATATATACAGAAATCGTGGAATACTACTCAGCTATTAAAAATAAGGAAATCATGATATTTGCAGGCAAATGGATGGAACTAGAAAAGACCATCCTGAGTGAGGTATCCCGGAGGAAAAAAGACACACATGGTATATACTCACTTATAAGTGATATTAGACCACTTATAATTACAGGGTAACCATACTACAATCCACAGACACAAAGAACTAAATAGAAGGAAGGCGCAAGGAGGGTGCCGGAACGTCCCACAGAAGGGAACTGGAAGAGAGGGCAGAAGTGGGTGAAGAGAGGGAACCGGCAGGAGATGGAATGGGGAGGAGAACAAGGGTGGGGGGTGGGGATCAGATTTGGGGAGAAGGGGGTTGGGAGGTGAGAGAGCCCTGAACAAGAGCCTTCGACAGGGTAGGCTCCCGGGGGGGGGGGGGGGACATGAAGACTGAAGTGATCACTTCCTAGCCAGGCAGGGCTGGTGGAGGAAGGGAAACAAGAACCCACCAGCAAAACCTTTGATCCAAAAATTACCCTTCCTATAAGAAGTGTAGGGATGACAAGGGAACAAAGATTGAGGAAACATCCAACCAATGCCTGGCCCACCCTGAGACCCACAGTAGAGAGCAGCCCCTGACACTATTAATGATGCTCTGCTGTGCTTGCAGACAGGAGCCTAGCTTGACTATAGTCTGGGAGGTTCCAGCCAGCAGGAGATGGAGACAGATGCTGGGACTTGAACCCAAGCATGGGGTGGAGCTCTGGGGGTCCTGTGGAAGTGTTGGGGAAAGATGGAAGGACCTGGAGGGGACAGGAACCTCACAAGAAGACCAACAGAGTCAACTAACCCAGACCCTGGGAGCTTACAGACTGAGACATCAACTAAGGAGCTCGCATGGTCTGGACCTCGGCCCCTGCACATATCTGGCCTATGGGAGGCGTGGTCTTCATGTGGGTCCCCTGGAGAGTGGAGGCAGGATCTGTCTCTAACATGAACTCAGTTTCCTGCCTTTGGATCACTTCCTCCTGGCAGGGCTGCCTTGCCTTTTGTCAAAGGCTTTTTAAGCATCTGGTGAGATGATCATTCGGACTTTTTCCTTTCAGTTTGTTTATTTGGTAGATTATATTGACACATTTTTCACATGTTGAACCATCCCTTCATCTCTCAGATGAAGCCTGCTTGATCATGGTAGATGAACTTTATTCAGTTTGTGAGTGGTTTTGTTTTTGTTTTTTTTGTTTGTTTGTTTGTTTGTTTGTTTTTTTCATCAGTGCTCATGTGGAAAATTGGTCTGTAATTCTCTTTCTTTGTTGAGTCTTTGTGTGGTTTGGATATCAGGGTGACTGTGGCCTCATAAAATAAATTTGTTAATGTTGTGGAATAATTTGAGGAGTATTGATTTTAGCTTTTTTTTTTTTTTTTTTTGAATGTTTGGTAGAACTCTGCACTAAAACCACCTGGCCCTGATTGGGAGACTTTTAATGGCTTCTATTTCCTTAGGAGTTATAGGTCTATTTAAATTGTTTATCTGAGCTTGATTTAACTTTAGTAATTGGTATATATTGTATATTGAGAAAATTTATTTTAGATTTTCCAATTTTGTGGAGCACAGGTTTTTGAAGTATGACACAATGATTCTTTTGAATTTCCTCAGTGTGTGTTGTTATGTTATGTTTTCATTTCTGATTCTTTTGAATTTCCTCAGTGTGTGCTGTTATGTTATGTTTTCATTTCTGATTTTGTTAATTTGGATATTCTCTCTATATATTGTCTATATTGTTGATTTTCTTTTTAAATTTTTTATTTTATTTCCATTTATTTACATTACATCTCCTGAGCCCCTCCCTCCTCTCCTTCCAGTCTCCCTCCCTCTTCTTTCCTCCTTCCCCCTTCCCTTTTCCCCAAGAAAAGGAGAGCTCCCTCCCCCATATCAACCCTCCCCACACATCTCAAATGGCTGAGAAACACTTAAAGAAATGTTCAACATCCTTAGCCATCAGGCAAGTGCAAATCAAAACTTTGAGATTCCCTGTTAAACCCATCAGAATGACTAAGATAAAAAACATAAGTGACAGCTCATGCTGGTGAGGATGTGAGACAAGAGACCCTCCTCCATTGCTGATGGGAGTGCAAACTTGTACAACCACTTTGGAAATCGATCTGGAGATTTCTCAGAGAATTGGAAACCAATCTCCCTCCAGACCCAGCTATACCACTCCTGGACATATACCCAAAGGACACCCCGTCCTACCATGAGGACACTGCTCAGCTATGTTCATAGCAGTTTTACTCATAGTAGCCAGAAACAGGAAACAACCTAGACGTCTCTCAATTGAAGAATGGATAAAGAAAATGTGGTAATTTACACACTGGGATTATTACTCAGCTGTTAAAAAATAACATTATGAAATTTGCAGGCAAGTGGATAGAACTAGAAAACAAACCATCCTGAGTGAGGTGACCCAGAAAGACAAGCTGGTATGTGGATATTAACTCTAACGGATAATCACGCTCCAATCCACAGACCCAGAAAGGCTAAGTGACAAGGAGAGCTCACGGGGAGACACATGGATCTCCCTGAGACGGGGAATAGAACAGATATCAAGGATAGCCAGGGGCGGGTGGGGACGGAGGAAGCGAGGACAAAAGTGGGTAAGGAGCATATATGCCTTGGTCCTGGCTGAGTTCTAGTTTCTCCACCAGACACCTCATCATCACAGAATTCTAGTGCTTTCGGAATGTATCGGGACACACAGTAATACCCACTTGTGTTTACTGAACTCTTAGATACTCTCTTGTAAGACCACAACCAAGAAGTGTAAAACAAACCCAGCTACTCGCCCTTCTAAAATCCTGCCTCGTGACAGGATTGAAAACCGGGCTTTGGGCACATATAAATTTGATTTCGCTACAGTCCCAAAATACACCTCTCTGTGTTGCCTAGCTTAGAATTGATTTGGGTATGCTTGGAAGTAAAGCAAAACCTCCAACACCTGCGTGCACAATTTAACAAAATTTGGGACAATCAGGAAACTGGTCCGTTTATGCAGAAAACCCCAATTCTCCAAATGACTGTCCCACCCAGATGGCATGTATTTGGAGTCGGTGCGCCCCCTGGTGGTGTGGTAGAGGAGCAAACGGCTCAACTAACCTGCCTGATGGGTCACAGGACAAGGGAGACACTATCAAAGGCATCCAGGGTGATGCATCGGGTGTAAAATACACAGCGGCTTGGGGATTCCCGGAAGCCGATCAGAGACTCACAGCATAGGACTTCGCCTATGCAGCTAAAGGTAAACTAGTTGTCTTCAAAGACAGCAGATGCATTTGGACTTAGGGTCTGGAATTCTGGACTATGTCTCGAGAATGGACCAGTGGGAAGGGGTTATGTACCCGTTATAACTACCCCCCAAAGTGCCCTATTGTGAGAGCAGTGTTAAGTGAACTGTATTGACTCCCAGGGAAAGTGGGATCACGTACCTAGAGGCAGCCGCCTTGGCCGACTCCAGCCTCTCAGCCTGAGCTCTCACACTCAGTACTTCCAAGTCACCTCCACAGGATGGGTTTGCCTTGGAGCCATTCTACAGACGACCCCACAATACCTTACAAACGAAGACCAGGAGTATGCCTGAAAAGAAGAAAATGTCTTGGAAATCCGTTGGACGGAAATTTAACTATCACAATTCAATTACTGAAATGATAGCTGCATCTTGCAGGCTGACAGATTAGACTTTAGGAGAGAACAGAACACATTAACCTATGTATTTGCTGGAAACATGTTTTACCTGGAGCTGACACATATGAGAAACGTGTTCTAGATACTGGTACCCAGGCTACCGTCTTTAAGACAGACCAGCATAAAACAACAGGTCTTAGAAGACGCCCTCGGGGCTGCACTGAAAACAAAAGGCCGTGGAGTCTAGATCACTCCTTCTAGCTTCACCAAGCAACGCCCTCTGAAGGGCGGACATAGAAGTGACTGAGGAGAAAATGAGCTCCTAAGGGAAAAGAAAAGGCTGTCCACCCAGCTAATTATAGCTCAGCAATCTGGCCAGTGTGAAGCTGTGAGGAGACCACGGGTTTACTTTAGAAAACTTCATGAAACCTCTTCCGTGAGAGCCGGAGTGCCAGCTGACCCTGAGGCATGCTCAGTGAAAGAGCAGCTAGCTGCAAATGCCAGGTGTTTTGTCACGATAGAGGTGGGCAGCTGTTCTTTACCTAGCTCAGACCCGTTACACGGCCTGTAAACTCGAAGCTGCCTGGATAAGCCCAGAGTAGGTTTTCAAAATTACAATTTAAAATACTTAGGGTTTTCTCTTGCATAGGCTTGGCTAAAATAAGGATCTTGAAAACCCTGTTTGTTTACTTGTTTTTATTTTTTATTTTTCAAGAAGCAGTAGTGGTAAAAAAAAAAAAAATCTTTAAAATGGCCTTGTGTGTGGGCACACACCTTTGATCCCAGCACTTGAGAAGCAGAGGCAGGTGGATCTCTGAGTTTGAGGCCAGCCTGGTAGAGTGAGTTCCAGGACACCCAGGACTACACAGAGAAACCTTCTCTGAAAAATATCTTAAAATGTTTGCATTTACATATGCACATATATAAAAGAGGCTTGTATATAAAACGCAGAAATAAATTATCCTCTCAGTCTCTGGAACACAGAGCTCAGCATTTGAAGTGAGTGCAACTGCCATAGGGAACAGGAGCAGCGTCTCTTAAAGTTAATCTATGCCTTCGAGCAACAGGGGCCACGTCCGAAGCCACAGCTGGAATAAGGATGAAGAAGATGGTGTCTTGACCGGACGGCAGGATTACGCCTGGTTGGATGTGGTCCCGGTCCACTTCCAGAAGATGCATTCTCTGTGTCCAGATTATCTGGGCTACCAAAGCGAGGGTGAAAGCATCACAAATTCCTTAAGGGTCTCGTGCAAAGGAAGAAGCTCCAACTCGCTTGTGGTGCGTCCTGCCTTTCCTTCAAACACCCTGAGAATAAAGAGTGTGATGTTTGCGTACAAACGCGGGCGCATGTGAATGAGTGTGTGTGGAGGCCAGAGGACCACGCCCTGTGCGGTGTCCTAGGTGCTCTCTCAACTTTATTTTACTTTATCTGTGAGACAGTGGCCTCACTTACCAGGTAGGCTAGACTAGCGGGCTGACTCCGGGATCCCAGGAATCCGCTTGTTTCTACCTACCCAGAGCTGGGATTCCAGGTGTGTCCAATAAGCCCGGGTTTCTCTCTCTCTGTCAAACAGGCATTTGAAAATTTAGTAAGATAAAATAAAAACAAACAAAATAGAGACAACACAAATAAATAAGCAGAAGAAAAAGTGCTAAAGAAAAACCGCAAACATAAACATAGAGACCATATTCGTACACACTGGAATCCCATAAAAAACACAAAACTGGAAGCCAAAATATATACACAAGGGACCTTTAAATATTTAACTATATTAAACATATTTAAATGATATATAATTAAATACTTTATCAGGGCTTTAAATACATATATTTCTTATTTAAAGCCCTGATAAAGTGTTAGGAGATAAAGGCCTTCCAAACAGTCATTGACTTCAGTTTGTGTTGGCCATCCACGCTGGACACGGGCCTGCCAGTAGAATGGTTTGTATGCCCAGTGGGTTTGCGGCGTCATCACTTGGAGATGGCGTCAGGGTTGCGGGTGGGAGCTGCGCCCCTTCCTCCGCCAGCCAGCGCTGCGACCCTCTCCCCAGACCCGCGCCCGCGCGTGCTGCGGCCTCTGTGTCCGGCCTGGGTTTGGGGGACCTCCACTCCTCTGGCTCTCACGACCTTCCAGCCTCCTTTCCCTGACCCCGAGGGAGCGTCTGATGGAGAATCTCACCTAGCAATCAGCGTGGAAGGTCCCCACTCTGCGCGCGCTGTCCGCCGTCCGCTGAGGGTGTCTGGTCCCGCCTCTTGGCGGAGGAAGCTTCGGTGGTGACGGAATCGTTGGGTGAACTGGCGCAGACCTGGGCTGCTCTGTTCTCCGGGCTCTCGGCCACCAGGGCGGTCTCGGGCGAGGCCCCTCGCGGAGTGCGCTCGCGGTAGTCAGCCAGTTTCCATGGGCTACTGGGTGGCGACCGCCGCGCGCTGTGCGGCGCTACTCCTCCGAGGGGCGCGTCGTGCAGCCCGGCTGCTCCCGGCACGGCAGACCCTGGTCCGCAGGGGAGGCCGGAGGCGGCCCCAGCCCGGCCCCCGCGGTTGCTGAGGTGTGCAGGTGTTTCCTCGGCAGCGGGGCCGCGTCGCTTTGGAGAGAGCAGCTGATAACCTTGGCAGCACTCTGGGTTGTTTGTGGGTTAAAATGGGGCCCTTTCCCCAACAACTCAATTATCTGCAGCCGGTTCCCAGAACCCAAAGCTTCATTTAGTGTCGGGAGATGTCCGGCCGGGGCTCGGCCTCCCCCGTTATTTGTGATCTATTTCATTTAGATCACCGTTATATGTGTGTCTATTCTGAGAGGTTTCTCCTGTATTACGTTTCCATGTGACCCCTCAACAGCCTTAGTCCCTCTTTATTCCCCCCACCTCCTTCTCCCCTTCCATTTGATCCTCCCCTTCTAACTCCACCCCTCCTCCATAACCATTCACCACCCAGCCCTCCTCCTCCATAACCCTTCGCCATCACCCAGCCCTCTCGCTAGCTTCTTACTCTGCACCTAACCTCTGTGCTGTATGCAGTGTAGCTTGTCAAAGATGAAACATCCACATAGAAGTGACGACAGACCATGTTTGTCTTGTAGGGTTAGCTTACTCACTCAGAATGCTTTTACCTAGCTCCGTCCATTTACCTATGGGTTTCATCTTTTAAAAAAAAGCAACAGATATTTTTTATATCTGGGGTATTTTAGATCTTGTATTCTATTTTTTCCCTTTTATTGAGAACAGACTTTTTCTCACATGTGTACTGATTGCAGTTTTCCCTTTCTGCACTCCTCCAGGTCCTCCTCCCACCTCTCACTGGATTCCTTTCTCTCATTCGAGAACAAGCATCTAAGAGATAAAAATGAAATATAATATAATATGATAAAACAAAAACTAACACATTGGAATTGGACAAACCAAACAAACAGAAGGAAAAAAGCACAAGAGAAGGCACAAGAAACAGAGACCTACTCATTTGCCCTCTCAGGAGTCCCAGGAGAGCACTGAACTGCGGCTATCTTCGAAGGTCTGGTGGAGACCCACGCAGTCCTGTGCTCCGCCTCAGTCTCTGAGTCTGCACGTGCTTTGATGGTGCTGGCTTTAGGGACCTTGTTTTCTTGGTGTCTTCCACCCCCTCTGGCTCTTGAACTCTTTCCACCCTCTCTTCGGCAGGGTTCCCTGAGCCCCAGGAGGAGGACTTTGATGCAGACCTCACGTTAGGGCTGAGTGTTCCAGGGTCTCTCATTCCCTGACTAATGTCTGGCTGTGGGTCTCTGTATTCGCTCCATCCGCTGCCGGAGGAGGCTGAGCGAGGCGTCTTGCTAGGTTCTGGTCACCCGAGAGTGTCGGGTTTGGCTTCCCTCTCATGGCGTAGACCTTAAGTCAAGCGGTTACTACCGCAAGCTTGGTGGCCCATTGCTCTAGCATGTCCTAAAGGCAGATCACCATTGTGAATTCACTTAACAGCTGAGTAACATTCCATTGTGTAAATGTGTCACATTAAAACACACATCCATTGACAGACATCCAGTCTGTTCAGGCTATTATGAGTGGAGCAGCCATGAACATGGCTGAGCACGTCTCTGTAGCAGCATGAAGCATCCTTTGGCTATGCACCCAAGAGTGGTACAGCTGGATCTTGAGGTAGATCAATTCCCGGCTTTCTAAGCAATCTCTACACTGATTTCCGTATAAGTTTTCACTCTCCCACCAGCAGTGGGATCTCACAAGCCTGAGATGTCGTTTGTTTCAGTGATCTTGGCAACTCTGACTGGTGTAGGATGAAGTCTCAAAGTAGTTTTGTTTTCCATTTTTCTGATAACTAGGATGTTGAACTTTTTTAATGAGTTTCTCAGCCATTTGTGTTTCATCTTTTGTCAACTTTGTTTAGATATGTACCCCCACTTTTTAAACTGGGTTATTTGTTTTCCTGATACCTAGTTTTTGAGTTCTTTATATATTTTAGATGTTAGACCTCTGTTAGATGTGTAATTGGTAAAAAATTCTTTTCCTCTTTTGAAGCCTGATGATCTGTCAACACAGTGGTGCCCTTTGCCTTGCAGAAGCTCTTTGGCTTCATGCGGTTCTCTTGGTTAATTGTTGATCTGGAGCCCGAGCTAACTGTGTTGTCTCCTGTGCCAAAGTGTCAAGGCTATTCCCCACTTTCTCTTCTATCAGGTTCAGCATATCTGGCCTTATGTGGATGCTTTTGATGCATTTGAGGCTGAGTTTTGTGCAGGGTGATAAGTATGGATCTATTGCATTCTTCTATATAAAGCTATCCAGTTTGATCAGAATCATTGTTGAGTGTGCTGTCTTTTTCCCACTGTGTATTTCTGGCTTCTTTATTAAAAAAAAATCAGGTATTGATAAGAATGTAGATCTTTTTCTGGGTCTTCAAATTTATTCCATAGTTTAATATGTCTGCTTTACACCAATGCCATGCTGTTTTTATTACTATAGCTCTACAGCACAATTTGTGATACCAGGATGGTGAGGCCTCCAGTAGGGTTCAGGCATGTTTCTGGGTATTTTGTATTTATGTATGAAGCTGAAGTGTCCCTTCAATTTCTTGGAAGAATTGTGTTGGAATTTTGATAAGGATTGCATTGAATCTGTAGATTGTTTTTGGAAGGGTGGCCATTTTTACTGTTAATCCTAGTGATCCTTGAGCATGGAAGATCTTTCCATCTTCTGATATTTTCTTTAATTTCTTTCTTCAATGTCTTAACATTTTATCATACAAGTCTTTTACTTTCTTGGTTGGAGTTACTGAAGACACTTTATATATTTTGTAGCTATTGTGAAGAGTATTGTTTCCCTGATTTCTTTTTCAATCTGCTTGTCATTGCATGTAGAAAGTCTTCTGATTTTTGTGAGTTAATTTTGTATCCAGGGACTTTGCTGAAAGTGTTTATTAGTTGTAGGATATTTTCTTCTATTTCTTTCTTCAGTGTATTAAAGTTTTTATTATACAAATCTTTCATTTGCTTGGTGTCTTAGTTTTGGGATTTATTGTTGTAAAGAGACACTATAACCAAAGCAGCTCTTATAAAGGAAAACATTTAACTGGGGCTGGCTCACAGTTTCAGAGGCTTAGTCCATTATCATCATGGAGGGAAGCACGGCGGTGTGTGGGCAGACAAAGCACTGGAGGAGCTGAGGGTTGTATATAATGACCCACAGGCAGCCAGGAGACTGGATTTGTTTCACACTGGGGCACAGCATGAGCATTCAGACCTCAAAGCCCCACCTCTGCAGTGGGGCTGTTTCTTTAACAAGGCCATACCTCCTAATACTGCCTCTCCATATGGCCAAGCATTCAAACACATGAATCTGTGGGGATCATACCTATTCATGTATCCATACGTATGAAAATATATTTATAGACATATATATGAGGTTATTGCAAAAGGCATTGTTTTCTTGCTTTCTTTCTCAGTCCATTTGTCATTTGCATATAGGAGGGCTTCTCCTATCATGAGTGTTCATTTAGTATCCAGTTACTTTGCTGAAAGTGTTTATCAGCTTTAGGACTTTGCTGGTGAGGTTTTTAGAATCAGTTATGTACACAATTGTATTATCTGCACATCAAGATACTTTGACCTCTTTTCCAGTCTGTATCTTCTGATCTCCTTCCATCATCTTATTATTCAAGGTAACACTTCAAGTACTATATTGAATAGGTATGGAGAGAGCAGACAACTTTGTCTTGTTTGTGATCTTAATGGAACTGTGTTGAGCTTCTCTCTGTTTAAGATTATGTTGGCTGTGGGCTGTAAATTGTCTTTATGCTGAGTATGTTCTTTGTATCCATAGTCTCTCCATGACTTTTATCATGAAAGGGTGTTGCATTTTTGTCAAAGGACTTTCCTGCATCTAATGCCTTTTGGTCTGTTTATTTGGTAGATTACACATATCAATTTATGTATGTTGAACTATCCCTGCATTTCTGGGATGAAGTCCAGTTGATCATGATAGATGATATTTTTTATGTGTTCTTTGATTTGGTTTGCAAGCATTTTACTAAGAATTTTTGTATCTGTGTGTTCAAAAGGGTAAATAGTTTATAATTCTTTCTTTCTTGATTCTTTGTGTGGTTTAGGTGTCAGAGTAACTATGACTTCCTAAGAGGAACTGGGCTGTATACTTTCTGCTTCTATTTTGTGGAATACTTTGAAGCATATTTTATTAATTCTTCTTTGAAAATCTTGTAGAATCCTATGATGACGGTATCTGTGGCTGGGCTTTTTGACTAGGAGACTTTTAATTACTGTTTCTATTTCACTAGGGGTTATAGGTCTATTTCAACTGCTTACCTGATCTTGATTTAACTTTGATAGATGGTATATATTAAGAAAATTATCCATTTATTTTGGATTTTCCAATTTGGCAAAGCAAAGTATGTCTCTGAATTCTTGGTGTCTGTTGTTATGTCCCCATTTCCATTCTAATTTTATTAATTTGGATCTCCTCTTTCCACATCTTAGTTAATTTGGATAAGGGTTTGTCGAATTATTGATTTTCTGAAAGAGTCAGCTCTTTGCTTCATTGATTCTTTGTATTGCTTTTTGGTTTGTTCCTGTTTCACTGATTTCAGCCAAGCGTGACTGTCCCTTGCCATCTGCTCTGTTTGTGACTTTTGCTGCTTGTTCGAGAACTCCCAGGTGTGCCGCTGCTAGTGCAAGAACTCTCCAATTCTTTTCCTTTTTCATTTTTTAAATTTTTTATTTATTACAATTTATTTACTTTGTATCCCAGTTGTAGCCCCTTCCTCATTCCCTCCCAATCCTACCTTCCTTCCTTTATTTCTTCCCATGCCCCTTCCCAAGTCCACTGATGGGGAGGTCCTCCTCCCCTTCCTTCTGACCCTAGCCTATCAGGTCTCCTCAGGACTGGCTGCACTGTCTTCCTCTGTGGCCTGGTAAGGCTGCTCCTCCCTCAGGGGGAGGTGATCACAGAGACAGCCACTGAGTTCATGTCAGAGACAGTCCCTGTTCCCATTACTAGGGAACTCACTTGGAGACTGAGCTGCCATGGACTACATCTGTGCAGGGGTTCTAGGTTATCCTCATGCATGTCCTTGGTTGGAAAAGACCCTCAGGCCCAGACTTTTTGGTTCTGTTGCTCTCCCTGTGGAGCTCCTGTCCCCTCCAATTGTTTTTAGTTAGATACTTAGTGCTATAAACTTTCCTCTTAGAATAATCTTCATTGTGTTTCATACATTTGGGTATGTTGTGTTTTCATTTTCATTTAATTCTACAAAGTTTTTAAATTTCATTCTTAATTCTGTCTTCACTTTTTGTTAAGTGGTGAGTTGTCCACTTTTCATGAAT